ATTCAAATGAATCATTGAATCAAAGGGGCTTTCGCTCAATCAAATGATCTTTACTATTTTCGCGTAAACATAAGCTTATGCCGAGTTCACACCGTGCGATTGTTCAGCAACAATGTGCACATGGATATTTGACCTGCTGCCAGAGCCAGTATGGTGCCGATCCATCCCAGAATATACGACCACGAGAACCTCCAGCCGATGTAGCGCTTCCCGAAGAAGTTGACGGTCATCCCGGTGTAGATCGCCAGAGCCAAGAGCGCGAGAAATCCTGCGGGAAAACAGCAATGACATCACTGCTAAACGACACGTCACGGCTGCCGACGTCACAGAATCACGTACAGCTAATTAATCCTCATCCTTCCCTCGGGTCATTTTGACCCTGGAATGTTTTTTCTTCACATTTTTTTTAATTTCAAAAAGTAACAAATCCTCCACTCGTGGGTCAGTTTGACCCCCATAGTAAGAGGAATGCTTTAGTACACAGACACGCCTAAAAATGCTAAAACAAAATTAGCTGAATGCATACTGAAGTGAAGTGAAAAATGTTTTTTTCGGTTGTGCATTAAATTGTGAGTTAAAGTTACACGAATGTGAGGAATGTGCTTAAATGACTACTAATTATTTTATTAAATAAATGTAGTAATTTAACAGTTAATAAATTTGCATAAAAAAAAGGAAAAAATATTCTCAAAATGTAAAATGAAGTATAATGTTAGTGCGGGAAGGATGAGGGTTTGGTCACCGGACAGAAGCAGAGCGACTCCTCCGGCCCGCACTCGTTTGCTTCGGCCTCGTTTAGGCGCAGTGACGCTCAGAAGAACTCCAGCGAAACAACCCAGCAGCGACAGCAGCATGAAGGCCCGTGTGGCGTCCCAGAATGCTGCGGGGCGGAAACACACACTTTGGTTAAACGGGTTCAGAGCATTCTGGGGGAATCTATAAACTGCTGTATGAAAACAATTAATGTATGATGGATTGTTTGGTATTTTTTGCAATTGTCATAGATACTTAATGTATAAAAATTAGGGCTGTGCAAAAGTTAATTGCGATTAATCGCATCCAAAATAAAAGTCTGTGTTAACGTAATATATTTGTGTGTGCTGTATATAATTATTTTGTATATATAAATACACACACATGCATGTATATGTTTAAGAAAATGTGTTATTCCTATATAAAATATTTATATTTATATAATATAGATTATGTATTTATATATATATACAGAATTTAAGCGCAAATAATTCTTAAATATATACATGCATGCATAGGTATTTATATATACAAAATAATTATATACAGCACACTCAAATATATTATGTAAAACAGACTTTTATTTTGTATGCGATTAATCGCAATTAACTTTTGCACAGCCCTAATAAAAATGTATTTTATAATAAGAAAATAATAACATTCTTTACCAATATCGCCAAAACCAGATAGATAAAGATTACTTAAGTTAAAAGTATGTATTTTTTGTTATTGTCGAAGAGTATGTTTTGAATTTTTTTTATATATAAAAAATATATTCTTCAAATACTTATATAATCAACTAGACAGAGATTATTACAAAATATTTACCCTTTTTTCATAGAATATGAAATACAATGTTTTGATGAAAAAAACAAACAATTAATTAAAGTATTTTAAGTTTACATAGAACTATGAACTAAGTATTCTTGCAAATTATACGTAAAATATTTAAAAAAATAAAATGAAATTATGTTTTGAATTTATATATATATTGCTTTTTTATATTTTTATAGAACATGACATGAAATTATATTTTTGAAAAATGAAATTTGGACCAACCCAGAAGGATACGGATAAAAAAAATAAAAAATAATAAATATATAATTAATTTGTCATTTTTGCAAGTGTTCTGTAGTGTAAGCGGTTGTGATGCGGCTGACTGTCCTTACCCACGTTGAGCGTGTGGGTGTGGCACTTGCGATTGATGCAGAACCTCCAGAGGCCCTGATTGGCTGCGTTCCCCGAGTAGCGATACTGCATCCAATAGTCTGTTGCTGTGGAGATGATGAGGAGCACGAGGGCCACCACACCACACAGTGAGGCCCCGCTTACCAGAGTGAACACCATCAATGAGAGCGTCCTGCACAAACACACACGGTTAACCACTCGCTACAGCATTAATGCTGTCAATCAAACCTCTGACACTCAGACCTAAAGTTTCCTTGATTCCTTAAATCACCAGCAAAACCCCCTAGAGCCTCTGATCACCACCAGAGGACTCCCTCACCAACTACGTTTCCCATAGTTCTGTGCCTGGTGCTGATTGCCCTCATACTCTGATCCCCATCCCATGGACTATTTATGTCACATAGACACACACACTACGAAGTCTTGTTCTTGCCATATTCCTAGTAAACTGATCTCTTGTGTTGGACCTTGGACTGTTTAGTACCTCCCCGTGCCCATCTGATCTTCTGCCTGTTTATCTGGATTGACCCTGTTTGCCGGCCTGATCCATCGCCTGTCGTGTCGTTGCGTTTCTGCCTGGTCTTTGATATCTCTGTTGCTGGTGATTTACCTCTGCCCATTGTTCTCCTGCTGTCTACAGTAAAACCGCACATGGATCCCACTTCTGCTGACTCCTCGTTACACCTCACAACATTTGGCAAACATAACATTTCTACTTTCTTCGAAAATATTGGTCAGCTTATTCATTCCTCTCCTGATAAACACTTTAAAATATACATTACGGAAAAAAATACCATTGTTACTATAATTTGTTAATAAAAAAGTGAACTAATATAATTAGATTATTTCAGATTTTCAATAATAATAATAAATTATTGTAAAATTACATTTATAATCTTTCTAATACAATATATTCTATAACATTGCTATATGATTATGCAAAACAAATTTGAAATAATAAGTTATCGGATCAATTAATCTTATATTTTTATAATAAATCTACAACATATAAATACTAATAATATAACAAAGTGCAAATGTTAATATAATAAACACAAATAAAAATGTAAATTATTAATATTAGTATTACTAATAGAACAGTTAAATAATAGGACAATTACAGTTATAAGTTTAATAAAATAACATACAATATAAGCAACAATGATACAAAAAGTTAATATATTAATAAACCTAAATGTATGATAAAAATACTATTTTTTATAATAAATGTACAACATTTCAATAATAATATAAAATAAAATGAAAATGACTTTTTCCTATTATTATTATTAATAATATAAAAGTTAAATTAATATAATTATTAACAACAATCTAAATGAATACTAATAATAAATTAAAGGATAAATTAAATGTAATTTTTTTAATAAATATAAAACAATGTACGCAATAAAATGTAAATTAGTTAACAATAAAAATGATAATACTAATGAACAATTTTTGATAAATAAAACCATAACTTTAACAACAACTTATCAATCATCATATGAGCAATTAACTTTATGTATTTTTTCAAAGCACAACATACATCAAAGCTTGTTATAGAATAAAATATTTATGATTGTTTTTTTTATTTCTAATGATATAACGTATCATTTAATTTAAAAATATAATACGATGTTAATAAGTATTTTATATTTTATCATTAAATTTTAAAACAAGCGTATTAAAAATATATTTATTTATTTATTTTGCTTCTAATAATACTTATCTAAAGATAAAGATATCTAAAGTTGTCTAAAGATCTCTATATTACTGATGCCACTTTTGTAAAAGTAAAACAGCATTAGAAAAAGTGCCTTAAACTTTTCATAAATAGAAACGTTTTGACAGGATGTGAACAATAGAAGTTCGGCGGCATCAGCATTTGGCTCGAATCGAGCCGATCAATCAAGCTTCATCTGTTTATAATATATATGCATACGAGCGTTTTGAATGCGAATCGTGTGCGCAGAACAAACTGGATCAGCACATTTCAAACTCGAGCTAGGACGCTGCCAACACACAAACTAGTCATTCAGAGGAGAAAATAACAGAGCCATTCATGACGAATCTCACTAAATGTGCCATTAAATGCATTGCAAATGAACAGAACAAGCAAGGCTTTTGTTTAAATTTAAACACAAGTGCGATGATCAAAACATTAGCAAAAGCATAAGATTTCCACAAAAAGTCACAGATCGTGCTTTTTATGTACGCTATAAAACATCATTAAGTTGGTGTAATAAGTTTCAAACCAGTTAATGACATCAAATCTAGCTTCATGTACCTCTCTGGCGGTTCGTCTCCCGCGAAGATTGCGCGCTGTCCTCGCGCCTCTGGGGTTTTAAACCCGCCACGCACGGCGACCGTTATTGTTCCCGCCACAATAGGGCGAATCATCCAGTCAGACATGCGAGATGTGAGGTAATCATCTTTCTCTGCATATCGTCCTCTTGTTTACCCATTCTCTCCATCTCGTTTACCCATTATCTCCCTCTCCTCACAATCCCTCCAGTCTTCTTCTGCGTCACCGTTTCCCGCGGCGTGGGACGTTTCGTGACGCGCGTCGACGCTCGCGCGACCAGGCCTCCCTCACAGGTCAAATCGATCCAGAAGAACTCCTAGATTTGGGTTTGAAGGATCAAAAAACCTCACCCGCACATCGCCATACATTTTCCACAAGTTTTAGTGAACCAATAATTGTTAACTATATAGGAATCACATGTGCAGATTCAAGTCAAGTTGCATCAAAGGAGCTTCACAGTATGAATCAAAACATAATGTTCCTTTCTTAGTGGAAAAAACATCAGTGTTTGGTAGAGCTGATCAAGGGTATTACTGATTGGTTAATTAATTTGAATATCCCCAACTGAGCAGTGAACAGTGGCAAGGAACTGAAAAACTCTTCTCAACATTTTAAAACTATTGTGATAGATTTAGCATAGCTAGTTTGTCCAGATATAGTTACCTAGTATCCAAATATATGTGGATGCAAAAGATACACCCATATATACTTAAATAAAATGTAAATTTACTATGATTTACCAAGACACAATTTGTCAATTTAAATTTGTATTTATTAAAAGTCACTGATAATCCAAGCAGATCTTTTTCTTGCACATACATGAGCATAATTAATCCACAAAAATCAGGAGGTTACCCTATATACACCTGAAGTTCATATACCACAAAGTATATGTTAAACATCAAAACACGCAGCATTACACCAGTGCTGAAAAACACCAGCGGTTGGAGCCACGTCTGATTGGTCTAAAGGTTCAGTCCCTTATTTATAATCAAGTGTGTCAAAGTCCAAGCAAAACATGTTGTTGGTAACGAGAGGCTGGAACTGAATATTAGCATATGCGCTAATAATCCAATCAGTACGACACAGCTAGCTAAATGAACAATCCGTTCGAGGGCGCGAGGGGCATCACTCACTTCTTTGGACGCCCTTTTCCCGCCTTCATGCCCCGCCCAGCTTTATTGCCCCGCCCAGCTTTATTGCCCCGCCCTCCTTTCCCACGATTCTTGTCGTCTTTCCTCTGCGCGGCTCTCGTGTCTTTCTTCATCCGTCCATCAACCACACGGAAAACGCCCTTGAGTCCGGCTGGACGCCTCACTTTACGCCCGACGCCCTTCTTGGCCACAATATACGTGACGTCCTGCTTCTCTTTTCCCACGCCGGCCTTTTTGTAGATGCTGCGAACAAAGAAAAGTCAAGATTAGTCTTCATGAGTTGAACATGAAAAGTAGCTGACGCGTCGATGCCGAGACTGACCTTTTGAGCTGCGCCATTTTCTCTCGCTCTGAAATATCCACCGTGTTCACGACGGCTTCGGCCTTTTTCTTGGCCTGCTCCAACTTCTTCATCGTCTACGACAAGAAAATATGCATTTAAAGGCCATACTCAGTTTGAAGTCAGTGTACGTTTGTTTAGTTTTTCATTACCATTTTCCACTGGATAACTTTTCATAACAATAAATTCATATTTTATTTGATAGATTAAAACATTAAAAATAACACCAATAAAATTAATAATAAAATACAGTATTTTATTTGACAACCATAAAATAAATAAAAAAATGAATTCACAAGTGAAAAATAATGTCAATATATTATTGATAAAATATTTTTATATATAAAAGATGTTTACAAAAAAGTAAACACATATAATTAAATATTCATAAAATGTACTATTACTATTCTACAAATAGAAATATTAATATAATTAGAAATACAAAATATATTATAATATAATACATTTAAATTTTGTAAATAACAAATTCTAGATATCAATAAAAAATACAGTATGTTATATTAAAATTTATATTGTTTTAAAATATTAACTAAATAATTAAATTAAAATCGTAATGTTCAATAAGAAGATATTTTATAACAATCTTTTAAAGTTAAAAAATACTCTGTATATCGATAAAAAATATTAATAAATATCACAATATTATATTTTTCTATTTAATAATAATAATGGCTTAAATTCCATAAGAGGAAATTAATAATTATATATTAAAACATTCTTATGATTTTAATTTTTTTTATTATTAGAATAGATATAATTTTATATTTAAAGGATGTTTACATTTTTTTTATATATAAAATAAGAAAACTAAACATCTGCTGAAAGCCGCTGACATCATCTCTTCTCTGTGAACTCTTACCCGTCTCTTCTTGCGGGCTTTGGCCTCTGCCACGCGTTTGATGGGACGGGCGTTGATTTCCCGCCATTTCTGCTTGTATTCCTCCACCATGTCTTTGGTGACAGGAACAGGCCTCTTCCGGTGCTTCTTTTCATCGTCAAAAAGCCAGGCGGGAACTTCGGTCATGTCCTCAGAGTTCGCATACCTTCAAGAACAGCACGAAGACGACTTTATTAGCTCAAACTCACGGCTAATGCAGAGGCTAACCGCCGTCTTCGCTATTACCTGTGGAAGGAGCCGTCAATTAGGTCTCGCGTTCTCCTTTTGGATGTGGCGATCTGAGCACCAAGTGCCAAACCCTCTGCATTAAGAATACGAGCACGTTTATCTGCGAAACAAAAAATAATTACACAAATTAAATATAGCTGCAAGCAACAAATAACACAGGCAGAATGAAATGCTAACAATCAAAGCATGGAGCGTCAGATCAACTGAAACAATCAAAACAGAGATGATTTTAAGCAAAACAGTTGGACGCCGATAAATACATAACTTGTAACGTCACAATTTTACTTCCGACCAATAGGTGGCGCTGACACTAAAGTGATCTGTTGTGATCAGTGTTGGGTGACAATTACACAAAGTTTAGTGTAATAAAGTCAAATCTCTCCAAAGATACAGCTTCAAATTCGTCGACATGAAAATAGTTTAGATTATCAAAACAAAATCCGTAACATTTTCCACGGCAAGGTCTGAAGAAACGGTCGTATGGAGTTAAAAAAAGCGGCTTTTTAAAGAAAATCTAAATCTAAAGTTGTTCAAAATTTGAGCTTGATAAAAATGAGCTTCCAGTGAGATGTTGTTTGGCTGCAGTACCAAATGCTTCCACTAGAGTGGCTAGATAAATTCATCTCCCATTTATTTCCATTTTCCGCCATTCCGCTCATTTTTGACTGATTATTGTTTTCAGGAACATTTAACCTGTGCGAATCAGGTTCAGGCGAATCAATGATTTTTTTGAGTGTTCAAACAGTACGTTTACCAAGTTACGTACCATAAAAATAAATAAATAAATAAAAAAAATAAAATAAAAAAATTGAGCAAAAATGACCGAAGAGCAGCAGAGGGTTTTAAATATAATTCTTTACTGACTTGTTTTTTCCACAGGAACAACTTGAAAGTCTTCGTCCTCATCAGCCATTCCTCTCGTGCCGACGGCCGCCGAAGCGTGTTTCATTTGCGCAATTTCCCTGTTAATAAAATAAATAAATAAATAATACATGTTCGTATTTTTCCGGGAGAATGCATATGATTCTGCTTTGCACTAATATAGACGACTATATAAATGTCACCTCTCATCATCACCATCATCATCGCTGCTGTCATCATCGGAGTCGCTGTCGTCTTGAGCCTTTTTCACTTCCTGTGAGGGCGCAGCCACTTCCTGTTTCTGTGAGATGGGCTCCGCCTCCGCTTTCCTCTTTTTGCCCTTCCCAGACTGCAGCAGCTGGGTTTGTCTCAGTTCACTCATGGCGTCTGTATCGTCGTCCAGATCCAGCTCTGAAAAGATGTCCTGTGCGGAGAATTAATCGTTAAAATCTGGCCTAACATGGTTTTACGGATTCACGTTAGTCTAAATGAGCGAGTCACACCTTGCTGAACCACATGTTGGTCTCGCGCTCTTTCTTCTCGTCTTTTCCTTCCAGTTCGACGATTAACTCGTTCCCGTTGGTTTCCCCTTCGTCCTGCGGCGCGGCGGCAAACGAAACTCTGCGGGAAATGCAAAAACAGCGCTAAAATCCCTTAAAGTGCTTAATCATCGACACACGAGTCAGTTTGAACAGACGTGAAAATTGTGTCATTGTAACGTTTCATTTAATCTTCATTTTGTTTCAAACTCTCGCTTTCATAAAACACCAAGAAATTATATTCATTTGTGTGAAATATTACAAACCAGTTTCTGAAAATTATTATTTATTTTTTATTTACAATTGCTGCTACAATGAAAATACACACCATTTTAATTTATATTATAATGTATTTATGGAAGAGAGAGGCCGCACTTTGCATACATATGCAAAAGTGCGACCTCTCTCTTCCATACATGCATTGTCATTATTAGGCCAGCACTCTTAAAACAATTTGAGGTATAAACTTTGAGTGAAGCCTGCTCCAACCTCCATTTATTATAATGTATTTACAATTTTTACAGAGTTTACAATGCAGTTTATATTTAGGTTTTAAGTAAATGCATTTACATTTTGTTATCTACTTTTATATGTATTAAAAATGATAAAAATGTAAAGAATATAAATATATTTTATGCATTTAAAAATTGTATTGTAAGCAATAAAATATATTTGGTTTAGTAAAACTTTACTTTTACCTAAAAAAATAAATAAATAAATAAATATATATATATATAAAACGTACATTTTATTTTTTAGTTAAGTAAAAATATTTTTTTTTCTTCAAGTATTTAAATCATTTTTATACCTCTAAATAAAGAAATAAATATATATATATATATATATACATCCTCTTCACAGTATATTTATTTTATATTTTTATTGTGTATGGTTTTATTTTATATTGCAGTTTCTATATACATTTTTATATTGTTTACATATAAACAAGTTTTATATTTTCCATAACATATATTATATTATCATATTTAATTAAATTAATCATTATATATTAATGAAATGATATATTAATTTAAATATAAATTATATTTTGTATTCAATATATATTTAGTGAAGGAAACAAAACAACAATATAAATATAATTTTGATATAAATATTTTATACATATATTTACATTTAATGTATTATATTAAAATAATAAATAATATACATATGGGTATAATAAAATGTAATGAAACAAATATGATTTTGATATACCTTAATATTAAAAATATTTATTCAATATTTATATATTATTATATATTATTTACTTGTATGTACGTGTGTGTGTGTATAATATATATATATATATATATGTAATTGTTTTAAATATAATTTGTACAGTTTATTTATTTATTTTATATTATTTAAAACAATGTAAAACACAAAATATTCACAAGAACCCTACTTTTTCTTCTTCGGCATTTTTCCCTGGATTTCTTTCTCTTTCTTCTCGATTTCCTCAAGGTCGTCGGAGTCGAGGTCTGAGGCCAGAGACATGCGTTCGTCCTCGTCCTCGTCAGAGATGTGCACATCATCCCCTTCCTCGTCATCCAGCAGAGCGTCCGTCACCTTCATGTCTCCCTGTGTGACGGCACTGAGACCCTGCGGGACGGAGGAACATCAGGATGATCAGACTCAAATTTGGTGAAAAATCGGACAAAGTCTAAAGCCGCCTTTCCACTGCACACGATTGAAGCATTTCGCCCCCTAGTGTCAGTCGGAGGAACTTTAAAATTGGTTGTGAAGCAAACATTACGCTCGGCAACTCACAATGGGGTAAAATTACTGATTCTAATGTAAAACTAATGAACTAATGGGGTAAAACTAATGAACACGGTCTATCCGCAGAAGTTCAGATATTTCAACGGATCCAAAGCTCAAATCAGATCTGAATTTCCCGCATATGATCGGAGCTGCCGTACGACTCTCAGACGGAGATGAATGACTTCCGTTCCGACAGCTGTGGATGGTCGTATGCAGTGGAAAGGCGGCTTAAGGAGTCGCACTGGTCTACAAGACGCCTCGACGGGGTCACTTGCCTCGGCTTTCTTGATGGCGGCGAGAGAAAACATGGAGGAGTCGCTGGTGTCGGCGATGGAAACTCCAGGGAGATCCATCTTCAGCTCCACTCGCTCTCTCTGCTTGCGCTTCTCCTTCAGGAGCTTCTTCTTTTTCCTGATCACAGACAAAAACACTTTCAGTGGAAAACGTTCTTACATTATCATTAACTAAAAATAAAAAAATTAATTAAATAAACTAGACACCATACAGACATAAAAATAAATAAATAAATAAATCAAAAATGTAAAAATCATATTTAAAAAAAAAATATATAAAAATAAATACAACAATATAAAACAAATTAAGCAAAAAAAAAAAAAAAATATGGTACTTGAAATAAAAGAATTATTAAATAAATTATAAAAAACGTGCCATGGGAACATTTACTTTAAGTACTAAAATAACTAAAACTAAATTAAAAACAATATAGACATGACAACTAAAACAAATAAAAACAATAAAATAAATTAAGAAAAAAAACAAAACAACTACAATAGATATAAATCAAGGTTACTAAAACATCCCAGTGATATAAACCTACCGTTTAAGATCGGCGAACTCCTCGGCTTTCATCTCCGCCAGCTTCTTCTCCATCTCTTCTTCCTCGTCGTCCGCCGCGTTCTCCTCATCCGTTTCCACCGCCTTTTTCTTGCCTTCCTTCTCGTCAGTCTCGCTCTCTTCATCGTTGGAGTTGAGACTGTTAAATTGCGCAAGTTAATAGTGAATCTTTACCGTGCGATATCTGAATTATGTGACGCTTATAATGACGTACTTGATCTCCGGATCCAGTTGCTTGGCTTCCTCTTTCAGTTTTCTAGCCAGGAACCTCCTCAGCTTGGATCTCCATGACAACAACAGACTAAAAACACAACAGCCAATCAGATTTCAGCTCTCCATATATGAACATTAGTGGTGGAACAGATCACAAAATTCATGGTTCAGATCATTTTTTTGGATCAGAAAAATAAAATGTATACATATATAAATTTGAAAGTCCTTGAATTTAAGGGTTTTGGACCTGGAAAGTCCTTGAGGGTTTTGGACCTGGAAAGTCTTTGAATATGAGTGATTTGGTTCTGGAAAGTCCTTGAATTTGAGGGTTTTGGACGTAGAAAGTCCTTGAATTCAAGAGTTTTGGACTTGGAGAGTTCTTGAATTTGAGGGTATTGGACATTGAAAGTCTTTGAATTTGAGGGTTTTGGACCTGGAAAGTCCTTGAGTGTTTTGGACCTGGAAGTCCTTGAATTTGAGGGTTTTGGACCTGGAAAGTCCTTGAATTTGAGGGTTTTGGACCTGGAAAGTCCATGAATTTGAGGGGTTTGGACCTGGAAAGTCCTTGAATTTGAGGGTTTTGGACCTGGAAAGTCCTTGAATTTGAGGGTGTTGGACCTGGAAAGTCCTTGAATTTGAGGGTGTTGGACCTGGAAAGTCCTTGAATTTGAGGGATTTGGACCTGGAAGTCCTTGAATTTGAGGGTTTTGGACCTGGAAAGTCTTTGAATTTGAGGGTTTTGGACCTGGAAAATCCTTGAGGGTTTTGGACCTGGAAAGTCCTTGAGGGTTTTGGACCTGGAAAGTCCTTGAGGGTTTTGGACCTGGAAAGTCCTTGAGGGTTTTGGACCTGGAAAGTCCTTGAATTTGAGGGTTTTGGACCTGGAAAGTCCTTGAGGGTTTTGGACCTGGAAAGTCTTTGAATATGAGGGGTTTTGGACCTGGAAAGTCTTTGAATTTGAGGGTTTTGGACCTGGAAAGTCTTTGAATTTGAGGGTTTTGGACCTGGAAAATCCTTGAGGGTTTTGGACCTGGAAAGTCCTTGAGGGTTTTGGACCTGGAAAATCTTTGAATATGAGGGTTTTGGACCTGGAAAGTCCTTGAGGGTTTTGGACCTGGAAAGTCCTTGAATTTGAGGGTTTTGGACCTGGAAAGTCCTTGAGGGTTTTGGACCTGGAAAGTCCTTGAATTTGAGGGTTTTGGACCTGGAAAGTCCTTGAATTTGAGGGTTTTGGACCTGGAAAGTCCTTGAGGGTTTTGGACCTGGAAAGTCCTTGAATTTGAGGGTTTTGGACCTGGAAAGTCCTTGAGGGTTTTGGACCTGGAAAGTCTTTGAATATGAGGGTATTGGACATTGAAAGTCCTTGAATTTGAGGGTATTGGACATTGAAAGTATTTGAATATGAGGGTTTTGAATCTGGAAAGTCCTTGAATTTGAGGGTATTGGACATTGAAAGTATTTGAATTTGAGGGTTTTGGACCTGGAAGTCCTTGAATTTGAGGGTTTTGGACCTGGAAAGTCCTTGAGTGTTTTGGACCTGGAAAGTCCTTGAATTAGACGGTATTGGACCTGGAAAGTCCTTGAATTTGAAGTTAACCCTGAAGGAACCCTAAATAAAAAGTTATCCTACATATAAACATCACTCACCGCAGTTCCTTTCGGCCCAAGACTTTGATATCGGAGCAGCACTCTTTGATTTCTGATGAAGTGATGGGGTGGGCTTCCAGCTCGGGGTTATCGAAGGTTATCTGGAGCAGAGAGATGGACATTAGCAGGAGAAATACATGCGTACTGATGTCTGGCATCATCTGAAGGGGTTGGAAACCTACTTTATTGGCTTTGCTCAAGAAATCGACGGGGTTTTCTGCCTTGAGGAACTCTGACAGTGAGAAGATGTGATAGAGAGTGAGATCTCCGTCGCTGTAGCCTTCAGCCTGAAACACCACAGCACACGAGGGGTTAAAGCAACAGACAGAAGAAAACATTGTATTTTATGAAAAGTAAAAATAAACAGAGCTAAGACAGAATTAGGTATCGTTTGATCTTATTATTTTGAGAATACAAAATACATAAATAATAGTTTTTAAACGTATTATCATATAATTCAAAAGATATAATTATACTAGAAAAAGAAATTCATGCGTTTAACATAAGCGGAGCGTAAAAACACATACTTTGGGCTTTTTTTTGTTGACCAGGTCTTTGACGGTTTTCACTTGAACGTCGACCTCTTTAAACGCATGTTTGGGGTCGAAGAACTTGTTGTCAATTTTATCCGGAGCCAAAAAACCTGAAGGAAAAGAGAAATAAATCAGACGGATAGAAAACAAACGGTATAATGAATGACAGACACACAGACAGAAGGGATGAAGGTCGGTCACCCTGGCAGACGACGAAGATCTCGGCCGACTCGTTCCTGGAGGCCTGGGGTTTGGTGGCCTGCACCTTCCGGAAGAACTGCTGGAAGATCCACATCAGCGGCTGGTAGTCCTTCGAGCGGAAGACCTTGGTGATGAACGTGCCGCCCTTCGCCAGGAACTCGCACGCCAGCTTCAGAGCCATCAAAGTGAGACTCGCTGCAGGACACACACACTTTAACCGTCTCACATACGGCTGTCTTACAATATTGATAACTTTAAATCCTCACTGAAGACTTCCCTCTCTGGCTTTTGGCTTAATGTAATTTTATAAATGTGTGTGTTTTATTATGTAAAGTTGATAGATCGTGCAGCACTTTTGGTTTTAAAAGAAATAAAAATGTAAAATTTAGAAATTTAAAAGTGCGCTCTAGAAATAAGTGTCTTCCTCTTCGTGCGTTGGCCAAAAATGACAGGAATTTATTTTATATTTCAATTAAATTAATGTACTATATTTTAGTTCAATAAGGTTTTTATTTAATATTTCGTATTTTGGGGGTATATAAATTATATTTACGCTGCATTTCTAATCCATTTTATTCACTTTTTTTGTGAGCACACACCTGAAAATGTAATTCCCAGCTTAAACTGAGGTAAATCTCGAACGCTGAAGTTTGAACTCTTTTCAAAGACGACACTCGGCAGATTATTGCAGGTTTTCAAAAAAGTGAACATAAGAAAATTTACGTTTATTGGTATGAAAAATGTGCAAAAATATTATTTTTAATATGAAACATTTTTAAAAACATGTTTTTACTCTAAAACTGTGATGAAATCAAAGCCATAAACCTAAAAAAGTTCATAATAGAGCCTGATATCTCAGTAAACGAGCATTCAGAGAGTGTTCGGCTGCAGTACCAAACGCTTCCACTAGAGGAAACCAAGGAAACCTTTACCAAGTTTCGTACCATTCCGATAAAGAAATAAATAAAAAACAAGACACATTTTTCGGTCTAAAATGGCCGCCGAGCTCCACGTGGCGTTTTCCCGTACCTTGAGAGAAGGCGTCATGTTGCCAGTTAGCACCGACGTTTGGCGCGCCGTCATTGAGAACCACGTCCACCTTCCACGTCTGCAACTCCTTCCTGAGAGCCTGGCGTAGGAACAGGTCATCAGAGAACACACACTTTGGACTGAAACTGTAAACATGTGACGGCATATCCCTCTAGAACTCTCTGATTGGTCTGAGAGCAGGTGTTCCTGATAAACACTGAAGAGCCTCTTTCTGTGCGTGTTTGAAGTGTTGAGTGTTGCAAATCAGACATAAAAGACGTTTTTATCCGAATTAAGTGATATGGAATGAAAAATACCTTATGGAAAACAGTAAAATTTGATTCAATTTCATGAATATCGACTCAAATGAAATACGTTCGGTCTCATCGGATTTTATCATGATCGATTTGCGGCTAATGCGATATAAGCTAATGGAAACGTTATTTGCCGAATAAATAATGAATTACGATTACGTTTTAGGCCCTTTTATGGTTGCAACACGCCAGAAGACGAGTTCATTTCCGGCCAGTCCCGCTTGTTTGTTTTTACGTGGCTCGGTTGAATTGTAATATATAATGTGGTTTGTTATTTCTAGTTAACGGACTGCGGCGCTGCTAAGTAACACACCGTTGCCATGGACGCAGTTCAAAGACGGAACGGACTATTTTCTATAGCAGAAGCAATACTCGTTTTTAAATCAATAAACTCGTTTTTAAGTCAATATTTTGTGTCAAATTATTGATTTATATGTTATAAGCAGGATAATACATAGCGAGGCTGTTATAGCGAATACAACCCCTTCAGGCTAACGACCGCCTCGCATACATTATCCCATTCATGTGTCGCTATCAGCTGGCACGTAAGCATTATTATGCTTCAACTTGTGAAATATTGATCATTTGTTGGTAGATGGCGCGATCCGTTTTGTCTAACAAAACTTTGTTCGCAAAAGTTTGCTTGAATGTTGTTCGATTCAGTGCGAAAATGAATGGAAACACCTTAAAGGAGTAGTTCACTTTTGAAAAAACTTTTGCTGATAATTTACTCGCCCCCGTGTCATCCAAGATGTCCACGTCTTTCTTTCCTCAGTCGAAAAGAAATTAAGGTTTTTGATGAAAACATTCCAGGATTTTCTTCTTATAATGGACTTCAATGGGAACCAAACAGTCCAAGGTCCAAAAGACAGTTAATAACAGTTTCAGATGCAGTATCAAATGTCTTTAAACGACACCAGACGATCAATAAGGGTCTTATCATGCGGAACGATCGGTTATTTCAAAAATGTAACTTTTCTAAGGACAAATGCTAGCCTTGCTCTATTCTGTGAGGCGCGTTTGTGACGTCACGTAATACGTAATTACGTTCAAAAGGTCACGGGCGACGTAGCCGGAAGTACAGAATCAAAATCGTCCGACGTCGTTGTTTTACCTTTTAATTCCTTTTTTGTAAACGGTGTTTGAGTTAGTTTGCACGTTCAACCTATGCGTTCAACTTGTAAACACTGACTCTGTACTTCCGGCTACGTCGCCCGTGACCTTTTGAACGTAATTACGTAATACGTGACGTCACAAACGCGCCTCACAGAATAGAGCAAGGCTAGCATTTGTCCTTAGAAAAGGTACATTTTTGGAATAAGTTTTGAAATAACGGATCGTTTCGCATGATAAGACCCTTATTCATCGTCTGGTGTCGTTTAAAGACATTTGAAGCTGCACTGAAACTGTCTTTTGGACCTCCGACCGTTTGGTCCCCATTGAAGTCCATTATATGGCGAAAATCCTGGAATGTTTTCATCAAAAACCTTAATTTCTTTTCGACTGAAGAAAGAAAGACGTGGACATCTTGGATGACATGGGGGTGAGTAAATTATCAGCAAAAGTTTTTTCAAAAGTGAACTACTCCTTTAAAATGTCTTAAATCAATTCGATATACCAATTTGATCGCAAAACAGCATGTGACGTCATTACGTACAGGTTTTTATTCGCTTTAAAGCCGTTGGATGGAAACACACTTTCACCAGCTTTATCCGCATGAGTTTTTTAACCGAACTTCAGATAATTCGATTAACAAGTGGATGGAAACCCTGGACCACAAAATCAGTCACATGGGTCAATCTTTTTATTTAGATGTATACATCATCTGAAAGCTGAATAATTAAGCTCTAGTGTGTAAGAACGAGTCGAAATAAAGCAAAATAACTGAGAAAAATGAGAGATAGTCCTATATTTATAGCAAAACGTCTTGCGTTATTACTCCAACACGTGAGCGACGTCATTAACCAGCGCGGTTGAGCGTCCAGTTTGCGTCAGTACGGTTTCGGGAAACAGTCGAGACTCGCTAGACGATTCCTTCCTTCTATAGTAGTGAAGCCGCGAGTTACGGCGCTGTACGGGAAACACACTCCTGAGCCGACCGAAGCACGCGAACACACACACACCTGTCTGCACTTCTCCGTGGTGATGTCCTCCTGCAGCGTGACCACGTTCGGGATGCTTCTGATCGGCACCAGATCCACACCTGACAGCAAATCAAGAGTCAACACTGGATCTGAGAGTCTGAATCAGTGACATCACTCGTCTCACACACACACACGCCACTCACCGATCACCAGGCTGGACACCGGCATGAACTTGGACGCCACCTGCAACCTGAACGACAAACACACACGGGTTTACTGACAGAGTTTTCATTTCTGGGTGAACTATCCCTTTAAATAAATAAATGTTGGATTCCCAGGCCTGTAGTTAGCATTAGCGCCTGCTCACCATCCTCCTGGAGCGGCACACAGGTCCAGCAGAGCTCGGGCTTTCTGGAGGAACTGGAACTTGCGGTTGAGCTGAATGAGCTTGAAGGACGAGCGGGACCGATAACCTAAACATCACCAACAACATTTGATCATCACTCTTTCTGATGATAACACATGCATTAAACCATACATCTAGGAAAATAAAACTAGGGCTGTCAAACGATTAATCGCATCCAAAATAAAAGTTTGTGTTTACATAATATATGTGGGTGCACTGTGTATAATTATTTCATCTAAATAAATTCACACACATGCTTGCATATATTTAAGAAATATTTTCATGAACATACTGTATATAATTTATATTATATACAAATATTTTATATATAATTCATGTTATATATAAATATTTTATATTAACATTTTTTCTTAAAAATACATGCATGTGTGTGTATTTATATATACAAAATAACTATACACAGTACACACACACATATATATTATGTAAACACAAACTTTTATTTTGGATGCGACAGCCCTAAATAAAACACAACACTGGACTTAAGAAAAATAAAGTTAAACATGTTATAGGTTAAAAAAAGATTGTGAGACATTATTAAAATGTTATTTAACCCATAAAAATAAATCCAGAACAATGAATCTGAATAACACACACGGGTCCTCCTAAACATGTCATTTTTGGTACACTTTAAAAAACAGTTGTGTTAGATTTTATTAGTTATACTTTATTTTAAGGTGTCAACACCGAGTACTAATAAACAACTACATGTATAGGATTAGGATTTGGCTTAGGGTTAATTACTTGTAAGTTAATTAAGCACAATTTATAGTAGGCATAATTACTAAATTACAGTAACTACGTGTTACAAAGACAGTGTAAAATAATGTTCAACGGTTCATGACTTTAATTAATTACACATGCTTTTTTGGCAACTACATTTAACTTAACGTTCAATAAAAGTCCAGAAAATGTAAACAATTAAGAAAATTCTTTAAAAAAATTAAAAAGCAGTATTAGCATAGACATGTCCTCAGACTGTATACCATGCTAGTGTACTTAACATCATACTTGAACTATAGTGCTACTTAATTTGAGGAATGACAGGCTAACTTTAATCTCTAATTAAACAAACACTCGCTATTATTACGGTAAATGTCCAAAAAACAATGTAATAACGTGGTACATCGTGATCTTTGTCACGATGTTAATGTTTACGCGACTTACCCGTTTCTTTGGCGAGGTGATAGAATTTATCCTTTCTGGTTTTTCCGACTTTGAGTTTTTTACCCATGATTTCTGCTGCAAATGACCAATTTTTACGCTTTATTTCCACACGTTTCCCCTCACCGTGTCGCGAGCTACTGAGCCACACGTGTATTCCGCGGGCGCAGAGTGATGACGTGTTTGTCAGTAGACCCTTTTTTTTTTTTTACATTGGAACTTATTTAATTTGTTTGGATCTTTTTTTAACAGTCTATTTGTTTGGAAATTATACATTTAGGACTATAGAAAAAAATAATAATACAAAAAAAAATTACGTGTGGCAAAATGCTTTAAAATAAATATGGGTAACACTTTATTTTACAGTGTCATTGTTACATATAATATAATATTACCACAGTAATATGGGCATACTTACATGAAACTAACCCGCAACCAAATCCTAAATTAATATTACTCAGTAAATGTGTAATTACTCGTCACCTTAAAATGAAGTGTAACCAAAATTTGATTTATAAATGAAGAGATAGATTTGTGTTTAGCACATGTAAATGTATGGTAATCAGCAGGCGCGTCGTTAACATGGCATTCGGGGCTTCAGCCCCGGATGTTTTTTTTTTATAGCCCCGGTTCTAAAAAAAAGAAAAAAAGAAAAAAAGGAAAAAAAAAGATTGATAATTATTAATTTTTAATAATTTAGTATTTATAAAAAATAAAAAAATAAAAAATACCGGGTATTTTAATCTTTCCTTCGGAATCATGAATTAAAGACGATTAAATGTTCAAGCAGGTCAAAGTTACTATGGTTACACAGCACGCTTGAGTTTAGATTGCGCACCAAAGGAGAGAGAGAAAGTGCCTGAAAGAGCCATCAGTTAACTTACAGCTTTAGGCCTTGACTGTCATTGTTGTTTGTGTCTTCTGGTGGTAGCTATTATGGACATTAGACACTTTTTAAAAAGTAAAATAAGGAGTCATGAACGATACGAGGCAGATGAGAGGCAAGAAGAGTTAAGCTATCACTTGCTATTTACACATTATAGCCTATATAATAACTCCAGGGGCCAGTTGCATAAACATAGCTATTGTGTTAAGACAGTGTCTTAAAGGAGTAGTTCACTTTTAAAAAAAACTTTTGCTGATAATTTACTCGCCCCCATGTCATCCAAAATATCCATGTCATTCTTTCTTCAGTCGAAAATAAATTAAGGTTTTTGTTTATCAAAATGAACGAATCTTTTTCCGTGTCATTTGGTTCATTCAACGAACAAAATGAATGAATTGACTTGTATAAAGATTCGTTCATTTTGATAAACAGGAGAGTCACGAACGGGCATCACAGAACAGAGCAAGGCGAGCATTTGAATGAATCCTCATGATAACTTTCGTTAATTTTACATGAAGTAAACGCACTTAAAAAGCTAATTACTCATGGACAGCAATGCCATAGATATACACAGAGCGACCGCAAAAACAGTTCAATATTATAAAGATGCCGCACGCTCATTTCTGGTGCATAAGGAATAAACTTCTGATAAAGTTATAACTTTGGTAACAGGGTTGATGAATCAATGCACTCAACATTACAATGGATTGAGATCATTTTCCCATCATACTCTAGAAAGAGATCAAATGATGTCACTTCCTGGGTGTCGCAATTTTAAGAAATGCTTCGGGTTTTTGTTTTTTTAAAGTAAGGAAATTGTTTTGTAACCGCCTTGATTCAAAAATGACTCATAATTAGTACATTTGCGTTAAAATAAATTAAATATCCATCCGAGACAGTCAGAACTGTAGCACTATTTGTTTTTAACCCTAAAACCGTATTCTGGACAAATGTGGGCAAAATAGTTTTGATTTATTTTTAAAAAATACTTCCCTTGATCTGAGCGGTACAAGACTTGGCTACTTTTACTAAGTTTGCCTCCTGAACACACAGAATTTTTTTTACTCAAGTGGGTGGAAAAAAAAAACTCCTTAATCTTGTATTTGGGTCAAAAAAATGGGCACCCATAGAAATGAATGGGAAAAACTAATTTAGAGCATTCTAAAATAAGCAAAAATTAGACACCAGGTGACAGCAAAGTCACTTCATCTTTAGGTTTTAGCTCTAAGAACTAATTGGAATGATAATTTAATGTAGTTTAAAAAATAAAACATAAAAATAAGCATGGAAAATATGGTACTTTTTTAAGTAAATAAATTCAAAAATACTCCCAAAATTAAAAATAAACACCATAAATGGATAGACAAAACTTTATCGAAGACAGTGATATAACATTTATAATAAATAAAAATCCTCTGTGCCCACATATGACCACAATTACAGAATTAAGGGCTATAAAGTGAATACGGTTTGAGGATTAAATGATAATATGTTAGATAATTGTGGAGTTGATTTAAATATGTGATAGATCTCACAAACAGAAACATGTGGTTTGTGCCTATTCAGTTTAAAATTAATAATCGGAAGATCAATGTATTTGTTCATGGATATATATTTATAAAAATGCATCAAAATGATCATGTAGAGGGATTTATTAAAATGTAACTTTCTTCCTTTAATCTCAGGCCTGATGCTGGAGAATGAGGATAGTGAAGAAGAGGAGAAACATCATGTCAAAACTGGAGAAAAAACTCACTCACAGACTGAAAGCATTTCTTTACTGGAAAGAAGAGACAAGAAATGTTACACCTGCCGAGAGTTTCACATGAAAACCGAGTCTCGAGATTCACGAGAGGATCCACACTGGAGAGAAACCGTCTCACTGCACTGTGTGTGGGACGAGTTTCAGCCAATCATCTGCTCTACACAGTCATATAAAAAACAGTCACAGTAATTAGTTAATCTTCAGATCCAGCACTTCGACCAGGACACAACAGCACTGCAGAGCAATTATCTCTTCAGAATGAGGGTATGTCTACTACGGAAGCCCTGAACCGCAACCTAAAAAAAAAAAAATCTGTAAAAAAAAAAAAAATCTGTAAAAAAAAAAAAATCTGTAAAAAAAAAAAAAAAAAAAAAATCTAGCATTCCGAGATTAAAGTCGAAATGTTTCGAGATTAAAGTCGAAATGTTTCGAGATTAAAGTCGGAATGTTTCGAGATTAAAGTCGGAAGGTTTCGAGATTAAAGTCGGAATGTTTCGAGATTAAAGTCGGAATGTTTCGAGATTAAAGTCGAAATGTTTCGAGATTAAAGTCGGAATGTTTCGAGATTAAAGTCGAACTGTTTCGAGATTAAAGTCGGAATGTTTCGAGATTAAAGTCGAAATGTTTCGAGATTAAAGTCGAAATGTTTCGAGATTAAAGTCGGAATGTTTCGAGATTAAAGTCGGAATGTTTCGAGATTAAAGTCGAAATGTTTCGAGATTAAGTCGAAATGTTTCGAGATTAAAGTCGAAATGTTTCGAGATTAAAGTCGAAATGTTTCGAGATTAAAGTCGGAATGTTTCGAGATTAAAGTCGGAATGTTTCGAGATTAAAGTCGAAATGTTTCGAGATTAAAGTCGGAATGTTTCGAGATTAAAGTCGGAATGTTTCGAGATTAAAGTCGAAATGTTTCGAGATTAAAGTCGGAATGTTTCGAGATTAAAGTCGAAATGTTTCGAGATTAAAGTCGAAATGTTTCGAGATTAAAGTCGGAATGTTTCGAGATTAAAGTCGAAATGTTTCGAGATTAAAGTCGAAATGTTTCGAGATTAAAGTCGGAATGTTTCGAGATTAAAGTCGGAATGTTTCGAGATTAAAGTCGGAATGTTTCGAGATTAAAGTCGAAATGTTTCGAGATTAAAGTCGGAATGTTTCGAGATTAAAGTCGGAATGTTTCGAGATTAAAGTCGAAATGTTTCGAGATTAAAGTCGAAATGTTTCGAGATTAAAGTCGAAATGTTTCGAGATTAAAGTCGAAATGTTTCGAGATTAAAGTCGAAATGTTTCGAGATTAAAGTCGAAACATTGTGCAAACAGTGCGCGATTAAAGTCGCCACTGGCTCAGGCTCAGAGCCACTGGCTCAGAGCGCGCGCGTGTGTGTGTGAAGTCGAACTGCAATGGATAAACACAAAAAAGTAGCTTTTTACTTTTATCTGAATTACTTATCTTACTTTATCGTTATAAAATATAATGCGCCGGAATAGACTTTAGCCTATAGGAAAACCAACACGGAAAACACTTTTCAGACTGGATGGAGAAATCCAGCTTTATGAATGAATGAATGAATAGGGCATTTATATAGCGCTTTCATATATGCCTACACTCAAAGTGCTTTACAATCATATCAGAGAATCTCTCCTCAACCATAAGTGGTTATTAAATCTTAGGAAATCACAGTATCCGGCCAAATGATTGGATACAGAATGATGCACTTAAAATGTATCCAGAGCGTATTTACGTTGAAGAGGGAGAGAGAACAGTTACTGTTGTGTTCTCGACCCAGATAGTGTTGACTAGACGAGCACGAAAACACCTCAGAAACACTGACACTAGCACGTGTGACGTGTGTAGAATTTTGTTGAAAGCCCAGATAAAAGTAAAAAGCTACTATTTTGTGTTTATCCATGGCAGTTCGACTTCACACACACACACACGCGCGCTCTGAGCCAGTGGACGCGCACTGTTATGAATGCACAATGTTTCGACTTTAATCTCGAAACATTCCGACTTTAATCTCGAAACATTCCGACTTTAATCTCGAAACATTTCGACTTTAATCTCGAAACATTTCGACTTTAATCTCGAAACATTTCGACTTTAATCTCGAAACATTCCGAATTTAATCTCGAAACATTCCGACTTTAATCTCGAAACATTTCGACTTTAATCTCGAAACATTTCGACTTTAATCTCGAAACATTTCGACTTTAATCTCGAAACATTCCGACTTTAATCTCGAAACATTCCGACTTTAATCTCGAAACATTCCGACTTTAATCTCGAAACATTCCGACTTTAATCTCGAAACATTCCGACTTTAATCTCGAAACATTCCGACTTTAATCTCGAAACATTCCGACTTTAATCTCGAAACATTCCGACTTTAATCTCGAAACATTCCGACTTTAATCTCGAAACATTTCGACTTTAATCTCGAAACATTTCGACTTTAATCTCGAAACATTTCGACTTTAATCTCGAAACATTCCGACTTTAATCTCGAAACATTCCGACTTTAATCTCGAAACATTTCGACTTTAATCTCGAAATGCTAGATTTTTTTTTTTTTACAGATTTTTTTTTTTTTTAGGTTGCGGTTCAGGGCTTCCGTAGTCTACACAACTACAATGCACTAAAACTGAAAAACGTTTCCGTGTTTTTGCGCATACAGACAAAAATGTTGTCAAAATGATTCCCATTCACACGGATCCACGAACACGACTAAAAACACTGTATTCTGCTTCCAGACCAGTAGTTTGCGATGTCACTTTGTAAAGAAACACAACGCATCTATAGACTAAACACAGAATACCCATTTGGGTAACACTTTACTTGAAGCGGTGAGCACAAGACTAACACGACACCTTTATAATCATGACATGACACATTATGAATATGAAGAAAGTTTTATGCATGTTTATGTCATTAAGTGTCATTCGCTCAGTTTTAATGCAAATATGACATTGTTTGTTTAAATTAATAAATATATAAAAAGGTAATATAAATATGCTTTAGAATATATAAATAAACTACAATTACTACATGTTCTATAGTTTACCTTCAATTGTATAAACTAACTTCACAACTTTTACTTGCACTGATATAGCAAGACCTATCCTCTTTCATAGACGGTGTAAATTTGTTTAAATTCTTTATATTTTTCAATCTTGTAATATTCTTGTAAAAGAGAGAAGTGAATCTCATTGCTTCTCTCGCGAGAAATGAATTCACCTTTGGCTAAGCCCCGCCCCCCTTAGTTACTGTTGCTACATCCGTCAAACTTCATCTGCGCTCTGCGTTGCTTATGCTGTGACAGCTCTTCCTGCTGAAATGTTATCAAACTTTTATAAAGCAGCAAATAAAGTGTCCGATAGAAGTAGGCAAAAGGGGCTGCAATATGCGTTCGAAGGCTATATTCAAGACATGCAGGTGAAACGCAAGAAACAACAAGGCATCCAAAATGGAGGCAAAAGCATAACGTTACCGGTCACAGTCAAAAAACAAACCACCGCATATCCTACTAAACGAGACGGAGGCTGGGACTAACAATATCAGGGAGCAACACTGTTCATGCAAAGCTGGGTAGGTCTCGATTCACTTCTATAATCGTTATTACAAAGCAAACGGACTACACGAGTAACTGTATAACGTTGAATTTATTAGCAGCGTGTGCTAGCGTATCAACAACCGGAAATCATAACCTACAACATTATAAAACGCTCTAACTGGTATAACTTCACACTCACAGTAAGGTTAGAAGTGAAAAAATATGTGCTTGTTGATCTTTGCGGGGTTTAGCTGACTGAGGACGTCCACACAGTTTAATACAAAGACGACACTTGTCAGGATTTGACTTCGGTTATGGGAAGGGAAAAAACGGACACCCCCGTCCAACCTCTCTGGGAAACTCGTATCTGTGTTACAAATGCCCGAGGCACAACGTTTAAGCATATTTTCGATAAAACTACGACGGTAATAGCCTGTCGAGACCAAAAATATGAGACTCCTGTGTTGAAAGTCAATGGAGAGCTATGAAAAAGTGCTGCGCTGTGATTGGCCAATCTTCATTCTAGGGTGTGGCTTAGCCAAAGGTGAATTGCGGTTTCACTCTTTCTCAGCGCGTGATTGGCTGTTCGCTACTGATGATGTCACACCTAAACTCAGGATCAAAGCCTGAGTTGACAGAGAAAGTTGATGATCAGCATCATGGTACCAACAAAGCCTGGTTGGATTGGTTTTGTCAATTTAAAACTAATCCTGTAACCCTGAGTTTGTTCGACGACCATACAGGCCCCAGGTGCCCCCTTGAGAACCAGATCAAAAAAGTTATTTCTTTTTAGTATATTCGCCATTACAGTGAAAACTAATTCCAGTGTTACTAAGTTGCAGCATATATATTGAAAACAGCAGAGGGCCTAACACAGATCCTTGCGGCACTCCATAATGGTGACATGATCTAGACATGATCTAAACCAACTCAATGCTGTCCCTGAATACCACTGTAATTTTGTAGTGAATCTATGTCATTTCTCGCTTTCCAAACCACCACCTGATTAACTTTGGCAATATACTAAACAAACAGAGTTCAGTGCTCTAAATACTTTTAATATAAAAGATCAAAACTTACACGTCTGAGTTTGCAGATGATGATACTTTCATTCCCCTCCATCCTCCCCACCAGGATGGTCCCTTCCTATACCTCCCCGAGCTCGCTCTGGCTGCGCTGTAAGACTGGAAGAACTGTAAGAGAGGGACGCAGCCAAAACAAGGAACAATGAACATGTGAACGACACAATAACGATAAAACACAATACAGTTTCTCCATGAAAGAATGTCTCGAGCAGAAACTCTTTGGCCCCGTCCACACTACTGCGTTTTCGTTTAAAGGGTCACTTCACCCATTTGCATTAAGCTTTGTATCTTTAGAAACCCAGTCATATTTTTGAATGGCCATGGTTTATTCCCTTATTTTCCCCTGAGATGGGAGAAATAAGGTGTTTTACTTCCTGCTTATCGTGACGTAAAAATCGTCATTTCGCGTCACGATAAGCAGGAAGTCATATTTCATTAAAATCTTTAGAACTACATTAGCTCATTATTAATACAGGGTAGTGTTGTCACGGTACCAAAATTTCAGTATTCGGTACCGATACCAGTTAAAATTCACGGTTCTCGGTACCAATTTCGGTACCAAAGCTTAGTTTAAATTTACATATATTTAAGTGTTTATCACGGTTACAAGTATGGAAACTGTACATTTGTATTATAAACACTTTAGAAAAAGATTAGATAAAATGACCTAAAATAAACAATAGTATACACTAACACATTTTTAAAGTTGTTTGTAAAGTTTTAATCCATTATTTATTTAATGCACAATGAATTAAGTGAACAAACATGAACAATCAGGTGTTTGTAATAAATAACATTTTCAAACATTAATTAATGTTGTAAAAATATATTGTTCACTCAATGTGTTGATAACTAAGTAATGTTTATGAATGGTATCTTTGTAGCATTACCATAAAACATGTTTTATTTGACTTGACTGTCCTTTTATTTAATCTAAAACTGCATTCATATTTAATTTTAAAAAGGCTTTTAAAACCTGCTGAGTTATAAAGGCAAGAATACGCCTAGAACTGGCACTGACATTAAATGACGTAATAGGGATGCATGGATACTAATACCAGTACTCTGGTGTCGGGTGGATACTACTGTGCTCATGTACTCGTAAAACTACCCCGAAAGCACTTTAGAGGCCGTTCACATATCGCGCGTGTTTTTAAATTATATTTTTGCGCGTGCTTATTCTTTCCAAAGCGCTTGCTCTCACGCGGCGTCTGTCGTTGCTATGCAACGCCAACGAGTTTTTATTAGGAGCGCGCTTGAATCACGCCTATATTTGAAATTGCGAATTTGCATGTAATCGGCCTCTTATGGCAACGGGACATTAGCCTAATCCAAAATATTTCCATATGTGGCTCTTTCCTCCTTTCGTTTCAACAAGTGGATTCAGAGAGAGAGAGCATATCAGCGTTATAAAGAGGACGCACTGTGAACCTTTCAGACAGCGCGTCTAGAACAGAACTGGATTAACCTGATATTCGGTACCTAGAAAAGCTGGTACCGTAACATTTTTTTTTTTTTAGTACCGACTTGGTACCGAAGTACCGAGTTTTTTGACAACACTAATACAGGGTGTGGGACCCACTCACCCTACAAGCCTATTATAGATCAGTGGGACTTCACTTGCAGAAACTGAAATCAAAATCCGCCATCTTGTTTGGAAGCTAAGCTAACAAGAGCTGTGGAGATAGTAAGTTATGACAATGACGGAAGAAACTAGTGTTGTCAAAAAACTCGGTACTTCGGTACCAAGTCGGTACTAAAAAAATTTTTTTTTTTTAAATGTTACGGTACCAGCTTTTCTAGGTACCGAGTACCAGGTTAATCCAGTTCTGTTCTAGACGCGCTGTCTGAAAGGTTCACAGTTGCGTCCTCTTTATAACGCTGATATGGCTCTCTCTGAATCCACTTGTTGACACGAAAGGAGGAAAGAGCCACATATGGAAATATTTTGGATTAGGCTAATGTCACGTTGCCATAAGAGGCCGATTACATGCAAATTCGCAATTTCAAATATAGGCGCGAGGCAAGCGCGCTCATAATAAAAAACTCGTTGCATGTTAATTACGTATCTTATTCTTTATTTCCGTTAATGTTCTGAGCGGAATGTTTTCTGAAGCGATGTTTTTTTCTTATTTAGTTATCCGTTGTAAACGTTATTTATACGTTTGATTTGGTTTTGTTCTCGTTGCCTCCCTCATTTGTCGCGGCCGTGACATTTGTACAGTACAAAAGCAAATGTTTTTTTCCATGTTATAAAGGTTGTAGTCAGGGCTGTAGGCATGGGTTTGTAATCACAGAGCTTGCAAAAGTTAGGGGGTTCAGATTTCTCGGAACTACACATGTGCAATTTAAGACTTTTAAAGGCCAAAAAAATGGATAAGAACAAGCTATAAAACTGCGTCAGTGGGCAGTAGATTATTCTGACAACCTGTTTGCTGATCGCCTGAACTTTGTCCGTTCCTGGTTTTGAGTTTGAAAATGTAAGATCAGCAAAAGCTTGTTGATTTTCATGACGTAAAAGAGGAGTTTAAACTAATATACTGTAGGTCGGGGGGAGGATTCACACACAACCAGATAAATATCCCAGTTCCAATTATAAATATCCCAATTTAGAAGTAAACGCCTAGTGGGCAGACTGAATTACTGTATGAGTTTCTGCCAATATCTCATTTCACAATATAGTAATTATGTAAAAACACCTGCAGAGGATTATAAGAGGGAATGGTTCTCTGACTTTACATGATTCTGTAATTTTGGGTTGTTGCTTTTTATTTGTTTATTATTTTGTTTGCTTTATGTTTTAGTTTATTTTGGGAATTTAGGTTTGCAGGCCTGTGTTTTTGGAGCGTGTATTTTGTGTCTGTTAATTACGTATCTTGAATGAATGAAACCTTTATTGCCCCAAAGGGGAATTTGTTTTACACTCATGGGAACCATAATAAACATAACCACAAAAAACATAGAATAAACATAAATAAAAGAAGAATAAAGGCAAAAGTGACATGGAATATATCAATTTGACCACTTAAGAAATCAGTAAATAAATATATATATTCAGTAATACCCTTCAAAAAAAAAAAAAAAAAAAACCCTCTAAAATTAATCCTATTAATTAATTTTCCTATTAAAGAATCTTATTCTTTATTTCTGTTGATGTTCTGAGCGGAATGTTTTCTGAAGCGATGTTTTTTTCTTATTTAGTTATCCGTTGTAAACGTTATTGGAAAATAATCTAATTGCGATTTTTTTAGCCAATATTGCGATTGCGATTTAATATGCGATTTTAAAAAAAAGTTATTTACCTTCTGTATTAGTCGACAAAGACAAGCAATAAATCATTGTATAGTATGGATGGGAATCTTTAGATAGCTCATGATTCGATCTACTTTTTTTCTTATTAATTAATCTTAATAACTCTTAAAATATGTATTTAATTGCATGTGTAAAAACACATACTTTAAAAAATAAATATAAAAAAAAAAACATTTAATTAAAGCAATTACATGTTAAGAATTTTAAATAGGCTATATAAAATAATATAGCTTCAAAATATAAAAGCTAGTCAATAAAGAGAAACAAAAAAAAAAAAAAAACATTACAAGCAATAAAGAAAGAGTGGTCTCAGTATTTAAAAGTAGGCTGTCTGAATGTTTTTCATTCAAGAGCTGGAGTGATTTCCCCTCAGTTTAGATACGATAAGCTGCATTCACACTAATGCATATATCTCTTTTGAAATTGTAAATGTGGTTTGTCCTGTTGGTTTAAGATATAACTGACCGTGTTTACATTAATTTCGCGTCATAAAAGCATTTTGACATGCAAGTACATTTACCAATGAGTCGCTCACGGCCGCATGCACAAGCGCTCTTCACAAAGCACGCGTTAGTATTTTAAAATGAAAGCAGCCTTCTCAGTGATTTTCATGGTTTTAATATATAAGCCAACTGCATTCCAAAAGACATAAATAATGCCTCTGTGAAGCATTTGTAGGAAAATTCCCGCGGGAGAGAACGTGCTCTGCAAGAGTAACGTTATAACATCAAGCAAAGCGGCAAAACCTGTTCAATGTAGCCCGCGAATGTCCTTGTAATTCGGTTCAATCCCGAACTTTATGAAATAACGTTACTATGTTTTGGAAGGTTCGAGCGGTGTCGTGTGTGTGTGTGAGGAAGAGAGAGAGCGAGAAAATAGAAGCAAGCAGATTCAGAACGCGGTTCGTTTCTAAAGCACGCGCAGCGTCATCACGCATCTGTGTTTAAAAACTATAAGCTCATACTCGATTCTGAAATTCTCTGAATCGATCCAGGATAGTTGAGGAGAGAATAAACACAATAAACTGTTCTTTTCTGAACGCCAGACCGCGTAGCGTGGCAAGTTGATGCTTTATCTTGCAGACTGCTTTTCTCTCGCGTGTCACGTGACCAGTATAATCGCAGCTCTTGCGATTACAAAATCGCGTTTCATCATATCGCGATTTTATCGCAAATGCAATTAATCGTTCAGCCCTACTGTTAATTACGTATCTTATTCTTTATTTCCGTTAATGTTCTGAGCGGAATGTTTTCTGAAGCGATGCTTTTTTCTTATTTAGTTATCCGTTGTAAACGTTATTTATACGTTTGATTTGGTTTTGTTCTCGTTGCCTCCCTCATTTGTCGTGGCTGTGACATTTGAACAGTAAAAAAGCAAATGTTTTTTTCCATGTTATAACAACGCATTCTCACCCCAAGGCGTCACCTTTGACCATGCTTCAATATTTGACGTTTTAGGCGCCCTTTAGCGTCACTTACATGACGCGATCCTACAGCGCTAAAGGAAAGCGTCAGTTAGAGGACGCGGTTAGGTTTAGGTGTGGGGGTAGGGTACACGCGATCCTAGGGCGTCATCTAACTGACGCTAAAGGGCGCCTAAAGCGTCAGATATTGAAGCATGTCCAAATGCTTCCCAAGGCGTCAGTTAGGTGACGCCTTGGGGGTGAGAATGGGCTGGTTATAAAGGTTGTAGTCAGGGCTGTAGGCATGGGTTTGTAATCACAGAGCTTGCAAAAGTTAGGGGGTTCAGATTTCTCGGAACTACACATGTGCAATTTAAGACTTTTAAAGGCCAAAAAAATGGATAAGAACAAGCTATAAAACTGCGTCAGTGGGCAGTAGATTATTCTGACAACCTGTTTGCTGATCGCCTGAACTTTGTCCAATCCTGGTTTTGAGTTTGAAAATGTAAGATCAGCAAAAGCTTGTTGATTTTCATGACGTAAAAGAGGAGTTTAAACTAATGTACTGTAGGTCAGGGGGAGGATTCACACACAACCAGATAAATATCCCAGTTCAGTCGTCTTTCAGATCAATCTGAGTGTTTCAGACATTTTAAGAGTGGGCTTTCCAGTGAACCGATGAAGAAAATGTTTCTCAAATTAGTTTTGTTGTGTTTGTGTGTTGGGCATCTGGGTGGTGAGTTTTAAACGTTTTTTTTATGTCGGAGAGGATAACCATTCACTGTTATTCTCATATAGAAATAATTGAACAGTGATTTTACAGTGAGATCAAGTTTAAATTCAAGTGTTGTGTTGAGCTAATTCCAATCCTTACCCTACCGTCAATACATTATGTGTACAGTCACAGAATTTCAGCACAACTCCTGTTGGGATCATGATGCCAATTGGCGTTAGTTCAATATTTTGATAATTAACTTTATAACCAGACAACTGACCAAATTCATTAAGTATGTTTAATAAATTTGGAAGACTTGAAGATGGATCAGAGATACAACATATTGCCGGCATATAAAGATAATTTGTGCTCAAAACGATTGATTTTCGTGCCAACAAGTGGATTCAGAGAGAGCCACATCAGCGTTATGAAGAGGACGCAACTGTGCACCTTTCAGACAGTGTGTCAAGAACTGGATTAACCTGGTATTCAGTACCTAGAAAAGCTAGTACCGTAACATTTTTTTTTTTTTTTAGTACCGACTTGGTACCGAAGTACCAAACACTATCCGAAACCAAACCAAAGAAGAAAAACCCCCACCCGGTCAAACGCATTTCAACCATCAAGCGTTAGATTAACTTTTGAAGTACTGGAGAGCCATAAAAGATATTTGCAAGACGTCCGGTTCTAAAAAATAAAATAGCCTGTTGCAATGAGCCTTTTGTGAAGCCCACTTATTGGCTGTGCCGGTGTAGGGAACTTATTTATTTTCAAGAGCGCAGACCAGGAGACTCGGGCTGTATCTTAAGCAGGATTCTTTATTGAGAACACGAGCTGTTGGTAGCTGTAGTCAACGAAATCTCATCTCGAGTCTGACTAAAATCAGTATTGAGTTCATATAGCTGTTTAAGGGGGAGGAGTTATATACATTCTGAAACAAAGCATGCAAATGAAGTAGGAACACACCCTACTCTGAGGGCACTGGCCAGGAAGTTCCCAGAGCCATCCCAGAGCCAATAAAAAGACAAAAGGTGAAAGTCTCCCCTATAGCTAATCCAATCAACCTTACGGTTCAACATCTAGGCTGAAAGGTGAGAATCTCAGCGATCTGATTAATTTTTAAAATACAATAGAGAGAAACAGGTTGGGCAGGAAAGAACCATTAAGAGTAATCTGACCAATACAAAAAAAAAAACAGGATAGGCTGGATATAATCACCATCCTAATCTTAAATGCTAAATTCAATGTACAGACCATTTCTCAGTTTATACTATTGTATTGGAACCTAAATTATACATTTACTAAATGTGTATTCCTTCACAGGTTAACACGCGACCCCCTATAGAACGAACAACGACCCACCGGTTGAGAAACGCTGATCTAGAGTATTTCCGAATATATAGTATTTCCGGAATCGCAGTCTGCAGCAGACTAGCTTGGCTAACGGCAGACCACGTATCATTGAGATTGATACGTGGTCTGCGATGAACCACATGTTCATTTTCTCGTATTTGAGGCGTGGTTTACGAATGCCCAGAGCCGTATTATTGGGTGCTATGAATGTCTTTCAAATGCGCCTGTTCGTAGCTCATAGCCATCGGTTCAATGATACCAAATGGCGTATGTAGAGCGACAGAAAATTAGTCGTGGAGGAAGACGATGGGTCAGAGATTTAGGTATACACAAAGGCTGTATCTGTGATTGGTTCCCTATCTCAGGCGAAAATTTGGTTCATGGTGTTCAAGCTGCCCAGCAGCATTATTAAAATCGCACTGCTGCAAGGCAGCATGGGGAAACCCAGGCAAGTAGCAGACATGAATCTTTGACAAACTTTGTGTTCTTCAGGTGAGAAGGAAGAGGACAAAAACGACGAGAAGGTATTCGTGAAGGAGGGAGATTCCGTCACTCTAAACTCTGGTCTTAGTGAACTGAAAAACGATGACGTCCTTGAGTGGAAGTTTGCAATGGAAGAGTCTTTAATAGCTAAAATCAATAATTTGGCTGGCAGAATCGCTGTATTTGATGGTCCCGATAAGACACTCAGAGGCAGACTGAATGTGGACAATCAAACTGGATCTCTGACCATCAAAAACATCACAATTAAACAGACTGGATTTTATAAACTACAGAGCAAAAGTGTGACCAAGACGTTCCTTCTCATTATCCAAGGTGAGTTAAATGTTTGATAATTTATATTTATTTCAACACAAAGATACAATTATTAATCCAAACTCCATTTTGCTTTTTTTGTCCATTCTTATATATATATATATAGCATATGAAGAGGTCGGATACAAAAGCCATTTGAAAGTTCTTCTAGAATGATAATTTTTTATCAAGCTTGTATATTTAAGTTCAGTAATTTCACTTAAATGGCAATGACCTATTAATTGTCATTAATTAATAGTGAAATTACTGAACTTAAATATGCAAGCTTGATAAAAAATTATCATTCTAGAAGAAAATTTAAAATGGCACTCAGAGGCTTTTGCATCTGAACTCTTTATATATATATATATATATTCAAATTCAAATTGTAAATGCTGTTTCTGTTTGTTCTGTGTGTTTGGTGATACAGATGAAATATCAGTGAAGGAGGGAGATTCAGTCACTCTAAACTCTGGTTTTACTGAATTAAAGAAAAATGAACTTGTTCTGTGGGATTTTTGTTTTGAAAATGAATTTATACCGCTGTCTAATTACCACATTGTGCATATAAATGCTGCTGGTGGGATATTCAGAGACAGACTGAAGGTGGACATAAAAACTGGATCTCTGATCTTCAGAAACACCAGAACTGAACATGCTGGATATTACTTACTAAACACTGCGGATGAGCTTTACAGGGGTGTAAATCTTACCGTCTACGGTGAGTTGAATATCAGAACCAATGAAGATGAACTGTTTCTCAAATTAGTTTTGTTGTGTTTGTGTGTTGGGCATCTGGGTGGTGAGTTTTAAAAGTTTTTTTTATGTCGGAGAGGATAACCATTCACTGTTATTCTCATATAGAAATAATTGAACAGTGATTTTACAGTGAGATCAAGTTTAAATTCAAGTGTTGTGTTGAGCTAATTCCAATCCTTACCCTACCGTCAATACATTATGTGTACAGTCACAGAATTTCAGCACAACTCCTGTTGGGATCATGAGGCCAATTGGCGTTAGTTCAATATTTTGATAATTAACTTTATAACCAGACAACTGACCAAATTCATTAAGTATGTTTAATAAATTTGGAAGACTTGAGGATGGATCAGGGATAGGGGTGCACGATTCAAAAAATGTCACGATTCGATTCGATACCGATTTTTTGTCTCGAGATTCGATTCAAAGTCGATTTTCGATTCAAAAACGATTCTCGATTCAAAAAACGATTCGCAGGTCTACATAAATGTAGTTTACTTTTTCCTATGTGATTGATTGCAGTAGACATAATTTAAAAGAAAAGATTGTGTATTAAGTTAGTAATATAAAATATTACTTTATATGTCTTCATACAAAAATAAAAACTTTTGCAACTAAAAAGTGCCAAGTGCCAAGCTTTGGCCAGCTTTTAAATACATTTAATTCAAGTTTAAAATAAAACTTAAATAAAAAGCTTTTACATTTAGCTTTAAAGTGCTATAGTCAGATCAAACAAACAATTATGCTATGCTACTCGACTGGGCACATTGAACTTCCTAAAAATATATACTAATTTCATAGAACCCTTGCGAAAATATTTTAAATAGATTTAAAAAAGCCACCGCTACTGGTAACATCTATGGTTAGATTGATTTGTTTAGATCCAGTGAAGTCGTTCATAGGCGCGTAATTTGCGGGTATCTCCAGTTAACTAGCAGAGCATTCATTTAGGTCGCTATTAAATAAGAGACCTGTTGTTTTTGAAATCAAGCTAAAGCTCGTGTCCGCTGCGATCACTATCATGGATACAGTGTTCTCTGTGGCTCGCGCAGTCTTCTCTCGGACGCGCACTTCAATCTATCGCCGTTTTGGAGACTCCGGTGAAATCACAAAATAAATTGCACACAAACGTGATGAACATATTCGGTTTTGATGAGAGAGAGAAAAAACTATACGAGTGCGGTTTAGAACCCGTCACCTCTGACACGCTTGGCAAAAGCGTGACCACCGGTCAGACCACCGGTAAAAGTCCCGACTCACCCGATTGCCACTCCGCCCCTGCACGGCATTAAAAAATATAGCCTATGAATCGATTTTTGGAATTCTATGAATCGATTCTGAATCGGTAAAGATTGAATCGCGATTCAAATGTGAATCGATTTTTTTGCACACCCCTAATCAGGGATACAACATATTGCCGGCATATAAAGATAATTTCTGCTCAAAATGATTGATTATTAATAGTCTTTGATATTAGTAGAGGCTATAGCTAGGGGTTCAATTGCAATAGCGAAGGGGAGTGGCGATAGAGGACAGCCCTGTCTTGTCCCACTCATTTTTGAAAGGTTTATATGTTTTTATTAGTACGTACTGCAGCCAAAGAAGCTGAATATAAAAGTTTAATCCAACCCGATCTCACGACCAAGTCGTACGGATTCGACGAATGATTAAAAAGTGGCTAATTCGTAACAATTCATACGACCTCGCTCGTACGAATTAGTACAATTTTGCTAAATCGTACATATTTTACGAATTAGCCAATTCGTAT